CATTTCAAAATCTATCAGATGGGGGTGGGGCCGTAACAACACTCAATGAGAAATGTACTCGCTGCCTCACGAATGTAACCGTATCCCCTCTGTAAGCATCTTTACAATAAAATAAAATTACAAAAAAAATCTATCGTTGGAACTTTCCATATTCTAATAAATAATGCCTCAAACAAAAATAAGAAACTAAGACAACACTGGCAAGAAACCAAGAACATAAAATATTTGTGAAAAGAAGCCTCTTGAAATAACTTGAACTAGGGTCTTCCATAAAACCCAAGAGAATATCTTAAAAGAAGATTTAAAAAAAATTCATGATGATTGAAGCTAACTATATTCTTTAGATAAAAGTTCCTGAAATCATAATCAAACGCTGAGTTAAAGATCAGTCATTTGGATATATACTACCCAGAAAAATCTAATTAAATATTGTTCGTCAAACCCAGAAAAGATGACAACGTAAAGGACTCGGCAGGAAGAGAAGTTATGCTGTATAATAATAATGTACGAACATTATCACAGGATAAATGTTCCACCTGAATATTAAAAAGCATTTGGGCTCAGTGCTACGGATGGCTGCTATTAATTACAAAGGAATTCCATCTTCATTAAAGCAGGCCCAACAGGGTCTCCACTTAAATAGCTACTGAAAGTAATTCTAATTTTTCTTAATAAACAAAAACAGCGATGTGGTGTTGCCACTAATTTAATGAGTTTACAAACCAGAGTAGCATTTTTTAGGGTGTGCTGTGTGCGTGAACTTCCATGGAAGGCAGTGTGAAGGCTTGGGTGAGTGCCCCTGCCCCCTGCCCCTGGTGGAATATGAAGAGCCTCACTGAGAATGTTTTAGTCATATGCGGGGGATGCTTGAAGGAGATATTGGGAACCTGGATCCTCTTCTTTCTCCTTTTCCTTCACAATCATAATGACGGCAGTAGCTTCCTTCATACCATCAAGATGCACTGTCTCTTTGTAGGCTCCAAAGCAACAGTTTCATCTAACTGATGACCATGGACCAAACTCAGGAAAACTGTGAGCTGAAATAATCTCCTCTTCTTAATTACTCGAGGTGTTTTGCTACAGTAACATAAAGCTAACAAACACAAAAAAGTCTCCAATGCATCCTTCATAAGAGGAGGGATGGTCACTTTGTTTAATCCAATCTCCCAGGTGACCCTAATCCATTTAGTTTCCTCTCAAGGAAAATCTGTGAGTATTTTACCTGAAAAATCCCCCCCCCCACTGATATGGAAAATAAATGCTATTAATGGGGCCTGAAACTGACAATGGGCATCTACTCATTTTCTTTGTTATGGGAAACAGATGGGTTTAGCAGACTCTGTTGCCTCTGGCCAACACACACTAGGGATTTGGTGCCCCTTTCTAAAAGTCAGGTTCATATCTGTCACCAGGGAAAAGGGAGCCCTTGTGAAAAGTCCCCTATGCTCAGAGATTTCACTTGCTTGCTTTCAGTACTTCCAAAGAAGGCGAAGGCTGCTGAGAGACTGAAGTCAAGATGAAGGTGGCACTCTGCTCATCTGTCCCAGCTGTGGAGGGACAATTCCAGCCATTCACACACCTGAGAAAGCCGTCCTTTATACTGATGGTGTCGGGGGGAGCAGGGGCACCAACCCTGGGGCTGCATCCGGAAATCTGGCAAATGTATGAACCTCCTCTCACCAGCCTCCATTCTAGGAGCCTTGAGATCTGTCTCGCTGGCATCCCAAGGAACCAAAGCATAGTGGAGCCAAGAGGGAGGGAGTAGGCAGCCATGCTCTGCCAGACAATGGGCCCCTAGAGACAGCACAATAAAGACAGGCAAAATTCCCAGAGAGGACAAAGCTTTAACAATGACTGAAACTCCCCAACCAAAAGCAAGAGTCACCAATGGAGGTGACAGTAACTCCTCACTCAGTTCATAATTCATGGTTCTGCCAATTCAGCCTGGCTGGGAGGTCAGCCCCTCACCCAAAGCACACTAATTACGTTTGAATTTCTTTAAAACGAATCATAAGCTCAGAGAGGCATTGGATTTTAAGAGTCTGGTGTACAGACTTTTCTCATTCATTTTAACCACATCAAGAAACCCCCTAGGAGATGCCATGTTCTCAGCAAGAAAAGTTACAAAAGAGAATGCGAAATGGGCTCCTTTTCCCAAGCAAAATGAAACACTTTTATGTTTTATTCATGGCAAGTGAAAACCTTGTTCCTTTGTGGCATTACAAATTGAATTTGCTCTTGTAAATTGCTGTTAAAAAAAAAAAGAATCAAAAACAAAGGAAAGTTTTTTTTTTTTTTTTAAAGCAGGAATACAAAGGCCCTTTCTTCTAGGAATGAGAACTGAGGGGACCTATGGGGATGGGGGCAGGGCAGGAAACAGAACCTTTCATTGGCAAACAGGCTATTTTATTTACTGCTCCAAAAGACAGCCCAAGGATCCCCACCAAGATCTTGCTGAGGTCCTGATAGTCTAAGGAATAGAGCCTCCCCCCCACAACTATAAATTATACTTAGGTTTCAAAACATAGCCAAGGCAGTGTGACCTAGTTTACATTACCACTGGGGGATGGGCTTTGAAGGGCTCAGTCTGCTTTGTACCACAGCCCACCTCATTAAGATCTGCAACAGCTCTCTCTTTTCTGCTTCATATTCAAAACTGTCCTTGAGGGGCTTTCCCTACTCCCACCCCATCCCCGTGGTGTGACACCTTTACCCCTGGCATCTTGGAAAGGAAGCTGTGTAATTATCTGCATCTGCTATGTGTATGTTGCTTTAAGAGAATCAAGAGCAAACATTCATTAAGCATTTGCCATGGCTCTTATCAAGCCTCTTATCTCTGCCAAATACTGCATATATATATACACTGGTTCACATGATCTTCATTTCTCAGATGGGAGAAAAGAAATCTCAGAAAGCTCCAGTCATTTTGTCAACTGGAATGTGAATAATCTCTCCACTTTCCCCCTTCCTCATTCTATTTGAGCTCAATTTTAAAGGGTGGGACACCTGAAAACTTCCATGGGATCCACCAACCAACCTAACATTGAAAATATACAACCAGCGTAGTGGCAGAGCGACTGTCTAGCACGCCTGGCATGCTTGAAGCTGTGGGTCTGAGTTCAGCACACCAAACAAAAACAAATAGAAAAGCTACCCACAGCAGATGTAGTTGCATAAGTATGTCATGATCTCTACCTTGGCTCCTGCCTTAAAAATCAACTTGAAAAAGAACAAGCACTTTGCATCCAGAACCTTCTAGTAAGGCTAAATGTTTGTAATGACGACCAACAGGCATTAGAGTTTCCTTGTAACGTCACTAGTGGATGTAAAGGCATCAGCTCCCGTCTTCAGCTCTGCCAGGCAAGCAGTTCATGCACCATCTATCTGCTCTTCCATCCAAAGCACCTGCCCCAGCTGTCAGATGCACCTCAGCCCAGGAAACATTATCCAATCAGTATTCAGAGAACACTCTGGTTCTCTTTTGTAGACCATTTCTCGCATCTGGTTCCAGCATAATGCTTGTTCTTTGACTGACGAGTATTTAGCTATAATCCTTTCTTTCTGGTGTAGGACTTGGAACTGGATCAGAGGACCCTCAAGTATGCTAATGCTTAGCATTCATAGAAAAATGCCTTCATATGGCAAGGCAAACCCCACTCATCCTAACAGTACCATACAGCCCGTTAAAAAAGCAAGAGGATTCAGGTATAAACCAAAAGCCTACAAAGGCCAGCTCTTTGTCGTCTGGGATTTTCCCCCCTGCATGTGCTATGTTCTTGTTTGCTTTCAGTAAAGCAATTTCTAATCATCTTACGGCTTGTCCCTAGATGTTAAGGGGCTCTCATATCATGAGAATTGCTGAAGTTTGACTCTGGTTTGTTTGTAAGAGTTAACAGCACTTAATGTAACCTACTTAACAACAATCGAGTGAGGTGCTAGTGGCTCACACCTGTAATCCTAGCTACTTAGGAATCTGAGGCCCACAGGATCACAATTCAAAGCCAGTCTGCGCAGAAACGTTTGAGAGATTTTTATCTCCAAAATAACCAGCAAAATGCCAGCCTGTAAGTATGGCTCAAGTGGTAGACCATCAGCCATGAGCAAAAAAGCCAAGTGAGAGCATAAGGCACTGAATTCAAATCCTGGAATCAACACACACACACACACACACACACACACACACACACACATACACACACACACACACACTCCCCAAGTATGCTGTCTGTGACAAAAGCCATTTAAATTACAAGCCACAATATGTGCTTGAAAACTAGAATGTTCATGTTTCTAGTCATCATGGAGAACAGAAAACGCAACACACAAAAATACAAGGAGGTAAATGATCCACTTTCGGTAGCATTTCACAGAAATACACATGAATGCAATTTTGACATAACCAGACATTTCAAGAGTTTAGCCAGCTCCAATGTCAGGATTTCCTGGCAATTATGGTTTAATGAAGGTTTGTCATTGAAGGATGCACGGCCTTATCACTTCCTGGTAAACCCTCTATGAGAAAATACCAGTGGGAGGATCTCTGTTATGGCAGGTGGCAGGCAGATAGAATGAAATTGATCAGAGAAAGACTGCAGGGGTGTGGCTCAAGTGGTAGAGTCTTAGCAAGCACAAGGCCTGAGTTCAAGCCACAGGACCTCAAAAGACAACATGTAACAACGAACAAGAGAGAAAAGTAAAGGCATTGAGACTGGTGGGTGAGGAGGGAACTTAGAATGTGGATGGCTAGGAGAAGTACAGAGAAGCTGAAGGCAAGCACCATAGCTGGCAGAGATTTGAGGCCCAGGACCTGGGAAAGGGAGTCACTAGAACTAGATTATAGGGAGGTGCTCTCATCTGTGATGTTTCTAACCAGAGTTTCTGTCAAGTCAAGTTACAAAGAAGGACAGATTCAAGATTCAAGGAGGTGCTATGAGCCCACACTGTAGGGTCAAGTGAGGGGATCAACTTCAGGGACATCAGGTGAGGGGCCCAGGACTTACCGGCCATTGTCGCGGCCCACGCCCCACACACGGATGCTCACGATGGGTTGGGAGTGCAGGACACTGCGGTCCATGGGGTCCACCAGGCTGAGCACATCATTCTCCAGGATCAGGTACATGTCCTTGCCCTGCAGCCCAAGAGAAAACCCTGTCTTCCTCAGGTCTGCATCCCATTCAAACAAAGGAAGCTGCCCTCTGGGTTCACACTTGGTGTTCTTAAGAGGGAAGCATTCTTCCCAGGCTGAAACACACTTCCTTCCCACCCCTCTAGCCTTCAATTTCTCTATTCTCCCAGTGCCCTGCAATGTGTCCTCAGTCTGCTTTCTAGCCAGCGCTGATTTCACTTATGTACATTTCTGAATCTGGTGTTGAGTCCATAGCTCTACTAGCCCCTCACCCTGCATTGCTCAGGCCACACCCTCTGCTTTCCTGGTCTCTCCTCCAACCACTTTTACACCCCTTCACGTCCACACAGCATGGCCACATGACACTGGCTGGTTCTAAGAACAGCTCATACTCTGCCTTGGTTCCTCATGGAACATATTATGCTGTGTGCCTGAGGTGCAGGTTTATGAGCTCTGCACTCAGCCCTACAAGAGCTTGGCTTAATGATCTCCAACTAAGCAGGTGAGGAAACTGAGGCTTAGGGTTAAAGTATCCTGCAGGAAGTCAGCCCCAGAACCTGTGCAACAAGGCACTGTGGTAGCACTGAGCTGGGGTGAGGGTAGGGGGGAAGCACAACTTTCACAATGCTACTGGGGATCTTCAAGCTTTTGTGTCTCATCTTCTATGTATGTCAGTTGTTTTGTGGGTTAGAAGAGTAGACTCTCAACTTTACTCTTTCCCTGTGTAATCCTTGATGACTCTTCAATCCCAAAGAAAGACAGATCCATTGCTGTTCTGTAAAGCTTTTGAGAATAATGTCTTAGGTTCCTATCAGAAGTTGTCAGAGTAAATTCAGCTATGCTGCTCAGGGTACAACACTGCTCCTACCAGCCAGTGTTGAAGCCTGTGGCCAGTGTTGGCTGGTGTTCACAGCTGACATTCAGAATGATCTAGTCTCCCCCAAGGAGCAGCTAAGTCATCTGCAGATAAAATCACTGACAGACAATACAACTTGGGCAGACTGATGTGGCCGAAGAAATGCAGAGCCTGGAGCAATAGGTTGTGTGCTGCCTCAGACCTATGCTACCTCCAAATGTCAGTCGCTAGCATTAAATCACAGCAACCTTCCTTGGAAATCTTAGCTACGAATTGTTCTTTGGAATAGTTAGCATTTTGGTGGAAGGAAAGAGAAGAGAGATGGATAATTCATGCCTGGGTATCAGATGGAAAGTGGGAGGTAATAAACGTAATGATTGGGTAATAAACATCAAAAAGGTATACAGGTGTTTTCTTGGGTAGGAAAGAATTCTTCCTCCTCTGTTCCTGTGCCTGAGGTTTAAAAGTCTGGCTGGCAGTTCAGCCCCAGTTGAAAGCAAACAGACTATATCATGGGAAGACTTGGGAACCCAGCTCTCATTGTGACATGGTACTAGATGGAAATGTAAGTGGAGTTCCAAACAGTTCAATCCAAAAGCAAACTTCAGCACCCATGTTCAAGCAACTGGACAAGTAGGGTTGCTCACGCAGTGAGCATATGCTACAATGCAGAGCACAGGAGGAATAAACTTTTCTCTGTGTGGTGTGACTTTGTGCAGATTTTGTATTTTTCACTGACTCACTTTTCTGGAATTAACCAACATTTCAAAATAGGACCCCTTTGCTGAAAGTGAAAAAGAAGATCCAGGGACCAATTCCCCAATGGATTCTGTTTTAAATGAGGAACAGAGGATCTGGAGGATTAAGGGTCAGCTTCTGAGGTAGGGCAGTGATGTCTGCATGCGTGGGTCACAGCCCCTGGAGAGTACCCTTGGAGGGCTCTGTGTCTCCTCCCCAGAAACTGGTCTTAACAGGCCTGCATCCAGATTTCTGAAGGCCTTCAGACCCCATGAGCTCATGAGTGGACCTGTGGGGACATGAGACTAGCTACCAGGTAGACTATCATCTAGCCAGGGCCTCTCCCATGTGCCACGTGGCTATGCTAAGAAAGGAATTATCTGGATGGCCCATGCCAACACTCCCTGTCTTTATGTGGAAACACACTGGTAAACACCCTACAGTCCCACCGCGCCCTGTCCTCTAGAGCAGGGAGTTCATGAAACATGGGGGAAATGCCGCAAAGGGGGTCACAGATGACTCCCACTCTCTACTCACCTCTCCCCAAATGCCCACGGTATCTCGGATGTCGTTTTTGCAGTAAGAAAGCTGCCTGATGCAGTTGTTGACAGCCACGCTGCTTTTCCCAGGGGCGAGGTCCTCCTCCGCCATTTCTACCCAGCCTAGAGAGCGCACAGCAAAACACTGGAAGACAAAGCCAGGGGACAGGAAGTGATGCCTCAGCCTGGGTTGATGTCTACCATTTCACACTAAAATCCCCGGGCTGCTTACAGAGGCTGCCCAACACACCTTCAGGGGCCTCATGTTCAAGCACCCAATTTCACTAACAAATCCTCTCTTGTTGGAAAATTACATGGTAAAGAAAACTTAAGGGTAATCTTGTTCTCTTAGATTTGTTGTTTCCTAAAACAAATTATTAGAAGTGCAAATTATGGGGAAAATGAATGGGCACAAGAACTGCTGAGTTTCCATGATCTACGTTAAGGTAGGTTTTGTTTGTTTTAAACATAAGAAACATAACTCCATGAGATCTATTATTATTAAACACCCAGGAAAAGAAAATAGAAGAGGGAATTGTGCTGTTTGAGCTTAGGGCCTTGTACTCTTGCTTGGTTTTTTTCACTCAAGGCTGGTACCCTGCCACTTGAGCCACACCTCCACCTCCAACACTTGTTTCTAAGAACACAATGTCTGATACCCAGAAATAGGGGAAAACATGGGGAGGGGGGACATGCTTCCTGGGTAAAAAGGAATTTTGAGGACAAATTTTGTATCAGACCGTGAAATGCTTGCCTATAGAGCCATAAGATTTCTTAAAGCCCGAGTCCCATTCACTTTTCTATCATTCAAGTTCAGGTATTTTCTTTGTGGTCATGCCCCCTTTCAAAGGTTCATATATTCATTTTGTATTCCTCTTAATTAAAAAAATATTACCTGCTTATTTTATCTTTTTTTTGGGGGGGGGGAGTGTTCTGGTTGTAGGGCCTGAACTCTGGGCCTGGGCGCTGTCCCTCAGCTCTTCAGCTCAAGGCTAGTGCTCTACCGCTTGAGCCACAGCGCCACTTCCAGCTTTTTTTTAATGTGATACTGAGGAATCGAACCCAGGGCCTCGAGCATGCAAGGCAAGTGCTCTACCACTGAGCCACCTTCCCAGCCCCAATGATCAAGTCATCCTTTATGACTTTATTTGATCAAGTCATCCTTTATGAAGGATGTACAGAGCAAACTGCCCAGTGTGAGTGAGTGATTTGCTCCCAGCTTCTATCAGCAGGGCTGCTGACCGCAGGACTGTCTGAGCTAAGGGCCCTCATCCCTCCCTGTGTTCCGAGGTCCCTTCCAAACTATGCATTATCTGAAGAGACCATCCTTCCAGGCCAGGAGGGGCTGACAAGCAGCCACACTCTTCCTTGGTAGTTTTCCAGAGAGAACTTCAAAAAGGAAAATGCAAAACTGGCAGTAATTTGTCCTCATGTGACCATCACTGAGTTTAGATCAGTCTTCTCATCTCAACCACCATGACCAGATCAGACACCCCCTTCCTTTTTCCTCAGGATGGGTGAAGAGGATCCACCAAAAACCGCCCATTCAACAAACTACATACTATACTGGTGTCCCAGAGGGGAAGGCTGAGCACACAGTATGTAAGCCTCAGCTGCCACTGAAGGGGCCCCCAAAGCCCTTGGCAGCCTGTCTCCTGGAGAAAGGTATGGGAGAGCCCTTCCCTGTTTTTGTGCACTGGTGGATATGCTGCAGGAAAGCTTACTGCAGAGACTGGTAGTGTGGAGCAGGCACGAGCTGGCTTGTGATCCATGCAGGGTCAGCCCATGATCAGCAGCTAAGATGCTTCTCTGCTAGCTCCTCCTTCAGCTCGGCTTCCTCAGCTCCCAGACCACACTGTGCTTCTCCAGTGGACAGGCACACAGCACTGAATATTGGGACTGCTTTATTAAGATGCACTCAGTTCCAGCTATTTCTCCACGGAGCTACTACAGCTCACTGACCATTCACGTTAGTTCTCAGCAAAGACTTTTGTCAGTAAAATCACAATGTCGCAATCGAACCCCTTAGACTGCCATTTTGATCTTGTTATGACCCTTCTACCTCAAAAAACAAAACAAAACAAAAAACCCAAAACAAAACAGCTGGACTCTTGGTTTGGAGAACAGTCACTTATTATCTACTTCTGCTCTTACTAGCAGAAGGAGGCAGAGCAGAGTTGTATCATCTGAGAGAGCAAACGAGGTGTTTTGCGCAGGCCACTGTAACTCACTTTCACTTATTCTCACCTCCACCCTCCAGGATGGTCCCCACTCATATCATAGACCAGGAAAGTGAGTGCAGCACAAAGCTGAGATTCCAGTGCAGGTGGTTTGGCTTCTGGTGTCTAAGCTCTTATGGAAGGGGCAGTGTCACGTGGAGTCAGGTTCCCCAAAGAAGTCATAGACTGCAACAGTGCTATTTATTGCTCTGGGTGGGACAACGTGGAGAACAGCTTTAGGCAAGTTTAATAGATATGGTGCCCCTGGGCAAGTCATTTACTACACTCCAGGTTTGTTAATTTGTAAAAATGGGAATATGCATAGCATCAGTTACCTCACAGGGTTTCATGAGGAAAACGCGGTAGAGAGCTAAGCATACAGAAAACATTCAATGGACACTTGCTGAGTGAAAGAGCAAACATAGACAGTGCCATGTAAAATCTTAAGTCACCAAAAGGAGAAAGTGACAGAGGAAGAAGACGTGTTATCAGAGCAACCCCATGACCCAGTGTCTCCTCGGTGTTTCTGTCTTATGCTCATTACTCTGGCAAAATTAACAGTAGCCTTTCCTTTGCTCTCTGAAGTGCTCTGGGTAGGACTATAAATTATGAATTCACCATAGTCAACATCCTAGTGAACTTAGCCTCTGGCGTAGAAACTAAGGCTCAGACAGAGGCATTGTGATGATCAGTTTAATAGAAAAAAAGGGTTCAAGATGACCAGGAGTTGCTCTCAGCAGACAGCTTAGGAATAGCACTGGTGTCCTGTAATGGGCATCCCAGCGCACCAGTGCTATTGTAGGATGGTTACAGACTCTTAAAACCAGAAGCCAAGCTGGATGTGTCAGCATACAAGAGGCTGAAGGAGGAGGATCATGAGTTTGATGCCAACTTGGGTTAAAAGCAAGACCTTACCTTCCTTGCCTTAAAAAATTGGAAGCCAAAACCAAAACCAAATCCAAGATACCAGGCACACATTTTCCCAACATATTTAAGCTGCCTACTAATAAAGTCTCCAACTTGTGAATACTCAAGAGAGTTCATTAATAAGAAAGGTTAAAGAACACAGGCTGCTTTTTGTCCCTTGAGTCTAAGAACACATGGATTTCTATCTAAACCATCTCAGTAAACCCAAGCATATCCTTCTTGGCTAAGAAATAGGAATCACCTAGCCTACCACAACACATTTAGAAAACCCTTTTGTTGTGCTGCTAAAATAGGGAGAAAGCCCAAATATATAGTTAGGATGATGACAAATTCATTTAAAATTATTTTCCCTATGCAATCCTACCTGTGTTTTAATTCAGTTTTGGTTCTGAAAAGGGTACCACCAATCCACATGACTAAAGAAAAAGGACAGAAGCTGGGTGCCAGTGGTGCCTATAATCCTAGCTACTCAGGAGGCTGAGATCTAAGGATCACAGTTCAAAGCCAGCCCAGGCAGGAAAGTTTGTGAGACTCTTATCTCCAATTAACCAACAGAAAACAGGAAGTGGCACTGTGGCTCAAGTGGTAGAGCACTAGCCTTGAGATGAAGAGCTGAGGGACAGCGCCCAGGCCCAGGGTTCAAGCTCCACAACTGAAAGAAAAAAAAAAAAAAAACAGAATGGAACTGTGGCTCAAGTGGTAGAGCGTTAGCCTTGAGCAAAAAGAAAAAAGATCAGGGCTCCCTCCCAGAGTTTTACAGAGCAACGGGCACTGTTCAGTGCTGCCCCCATGCGGCAAGGAAAGTTTATAACATCTTATCCTTTCCTTAAATGCAGGACAAAGACACTTAACATAATTAGCTGCTATGGTAACAGATACTATTTTTAGGGTGAGAGAGGAACTAGAACCATTTACTCAAATCATCGGCCTATCTTCTTTAAACCTTGAAAAAAAATAGCACATGCACTTTCACTGATGCCCATTCCCTAATAACTCTTAATCCACAAAGGCAAAAAGAAATATAATATCTCAGGGTTGGGATGGTACAATTGAGTGTCTCTGGGATTCAAGTTTCAACTTGTAGTTTATGAGCAGGAACCTTTGGGTTTGGTTTTTTCACATGTAAAAGCAAATGCCCACATTGTATAGTACTGTGAGTATTCCACAAAGTAATAAAGGTAAAGTGCTTAGCGTACTGGCTGTGATGTAGCTAGAATTCACTACACATTTTTATCACTACCTTTATAAATACTTATTCTTTCCCATTCATGGATTTTAAAGATTTCTCAGTCAAACTAGCACATGGAGATAGATTATAGTAGACTATAATGTGTGTGAATAACCACCTTTGATAAAACACAGAAACCCATTTATTTGTCTAAAACTACACTCTTCCTAAGACAGGCAGGCCCTGAATGTAAAATGTGGGTTCACATTCCAGGACTGCCACTTCACATCTGTGATCCTGGGCAAACTAATGACCGGGCCTCCGTTTTCTCATTTGTAAAATGTGGCAACTAAAACATCGGTCTCCCAACACAAATCAAATACTGTGAGGATTAGTGTTTGGAGATGCTCCTGTTGGGTTTGTTAGTTATTATGGGAATTTGTAGATAAATTAGGAAGGACTTAGCTCTGGACCCGGGCTTCCTTCTCTCCTATTATTTTTCTCCTTGCCCCTCATCTACTCAGAACCAAATTGTTTCATTATAACTGGAACAGTCACCCCAATGTTAACTTCTCTCTCAGAGTCCTATACTAAGATAGACGGTTGCCTACAAGAGAATGTTCTCCAAAGACATGAAGAGTGGTACAGAACACAATGTAAAGCCTTTGTTTCTATGGACACAAAGTCTTGAGTTCCAGTTCTTCTATTCCAATCAGCAGGTGCTCAGCCTTCAGGATTCTACATCTACTTGGTTGATAAATGATAATATTACTAAGCTCTCAGAGATGTGAGGAGATTCTAGAGAAATGATATGGGCAAATGGCTGGCATA